AAAATCCAAAGTGGTAGCGCATGTAACATACCACACGTATATTATATTGTAGTGATAGATTGTAATATATTTCTAATGGCATTGATATTGTACTTTGTATACTGTATCATTATTGCATTTGTCCAATAAATTATCTTGTAACACTTGTACACCTTTCGAATCTCCTATTCCTTCCTATATCTCCATCATTTTTCTCGCAGTATATCCTCAAAAACTAAGTTTTTAAAATGTCATTTGGAACAAGAAAAATCCAAAGTGGTAGCGCATGTAACATACCACAAGTATATTATATTGTAGTGATATATGTAGTATATCTCTAATGGTACTGTTATTGTTAATCTTTCGCAAGTCATATACTTTATACGTATACTGTATCATTATTACATTTGAACAATAGATTATATTATAACACTTGTACACTTTTCGAATCTCCAATTCCTTCCTATATCTCCATCACGCTCCTCCTAATATATCCTTAAAAATTAAGTTTTTAAAATGTTTTTTGGAGAAAGAAAAATCCAAAGCACATGTAACATATCACACGTATATTATGTTGTAGTGATATATTGTAATATATTTTTAATGGCATTGATATTACTAATCTTTCACAGACTATATATATACATCTGTACTTCATAAACTGTATCATTATTGCATTTGTCAAATAAATTATCTTGTAACACTTATACACGTTAATATTATTTTACCCTGTGCGAATATCCCAAAGTACGAGTGAGTTCTGGCTCTCTCTGATTCTCCTCGATTATAACCGTATCCTTTTCCTCCTTTTCTTGCCTTATGCTGCTACACCTCTATTCGGTTATGCTCTATTTTCTCTGTCATTACTTCCATTCCATCAGCAAGTTGCAAAAAGTAAAGGGATTTTTTGAAAGTGCCCTATCGCAATTTGATCAGTACCTGTATCTTCAGAGATACAGCTGATTTTCGAATTACTCTTGCTCTATTTTCTCTGTCATTACTTCGTTCTGAATGTCATCCCTTGAGGAACTGTCCTCTTGCTACGGGAGAGATGTTTCTTGGAATGTCATGCTCTCTCTCTCTCTCTGTCTCTAGGTATGGTTCGAGTGGGAGAGACAGAGAGGAATATTGGGACGAGATGACTCGTGGCTGGCTGTGACAAATGTCCAAGAAATACGGAAGCCATCCCTCATGGCGATGGACATTTTTGTATCCGAGAAATAAGTCAGGGTCAGCAGTTTTATCCGTGCCTGATTAAACGGAACGATCCTCTTATCTTTGGTTGAAAAAGGGGGGGAAAAAAAAAAGAAAAAAAAAATTCGATATTGAATTTCAAGCGAATGCACCTCAAGTGTACGGCACTGGAGACAATGTTAAAGTATGAATTCTTTAATAAGATTTACTCATTGAAATTTTTTTTTTTTTTTTTTTTTTTTTAA